AACTGAATGTGGCAGCACAGTGTGAAAAATCACTAGCTGGGGCTCTGCAAGGGCCATGAAAGTGTGAGCTTGGAAGAGAACTGCTGACACTTTTCACCAGCATCAGGAGGATGAATGATCCCCTATCACGTCTGAGGAACTGTGACCCAGAGGCAGAGTCCCTGTGCTGACAATAATAATGTCTGAGTAACTGATAGTTTTAAAAAGATGCCCCAAATGACATCTCATAAGGTGGAAATACTAGGACAAAAGAGACTATCTACCTTTTCATTCTGGGGATCATATAATTTTCCTCCATACATCTTCAAATAATAAAGATCTTTCACCTCCCAGAGAATATTATATACAGCTAAATTTATTTTGAGTTAATATATTTTCAGCTAAATCCATGTCTCTGTACGGCTCTGGAGCAGCAGGATAGCAGTGAGGTACAAAGGTGGAGCAGAGCAGAGCTCTATCTGCCTCACTTCCAATGCTACAACCCACAGCATCCTCACTGAAATGCTGGACAAGAGTGATGCCCGATGGAACGATGCTGGAGGTCTCCAGTAACAACACCCAAGGAAGAGGGCCAGTTACTTGTGACAAATTTTGAGATGGTTCAAGAAAGAAGGAAAAGTTCAACTAGACTAGCCAAGATGGGCAACACTAGTTTATAGTCTCTGTCTTCTGCCCAAACCATTGATACATCAGCCTGACGATATCACCTCTGTGCTTTCGATAGAGGAACATAAACTGAAGGCATAAGCTCAAATGTCATACTCAAGCCTAAAAGTAGAGAAAGAGGGCTCTAGATGCCCAGAGTTTATCTCACTGTGGTCTTCTTTAATAAATGCCTACCAAGTGGCAGAGAATTCAAAGCTGAATGTTAGTTATTAAAGCAAACACCTACAACTAGGCTGCAGCACTGTATGTAAACTGATTTCCCAAGTAGATGCAATTTCCAGTTTGATGTGTGCTGAAGTGAGATCAGACTCTCTGTCTGTTGTTCAACCATGGAAGCTGTTGTCCTTGTTTTCCTAGTGGCTGGCTGCTCACTGAGTAGCAAGGGCCAAGGGTGATTCAGCATTGCTTCATACTGCTACAGGAACAGACTTCCTGTAAGATCAATAGTTCAGGCAATTAATTTTAATCTCCTGGTCTGAGCAGAATGCTTTTCTATTTTATTTTAAAGCAGGTAGGATCAGGTCAGTTGACTACTATCCTAAATCTTTTGGTCTCCTAGACTGCAGTGAATGGCAAAACCAGGAAGTTAGTCTACCAACCACATAAATGTGATCATTAGAGTCACAACTGTCAAAGCTGAAACCCAAGTAGAAAATGTGGTGCAGTAAGTTCAAACTGCCATTCAGGTACTTCATGTTGTTCATGGCTCCTGTGGCCTATACGGATTGTAATAGGTGGAGAGATGGCTTGCTGCACTCACCCTCTCTGCAGAGAAATGTGACTGCAGTCACTCTTAGAAAAGGTAATCTATATGACCCTCTGATGAATAGGCCACTTATTTATAAGCACCCTATCTTTTCAAGTGATGCTGCTGTACATCCGCTCTAAACAAGAAGGATTTCCTTTTCTGATATGGAATGTAGTATCTTTGATGACTCTGCACAGGCAGCCAGGCCCATATAAAGCAGAGGAGGAAATTTCCCCACCCATTTTTCCCTCCCTTCCCCTACCATACATGGAGAGGCTCTTGAGTCCTAGGAACTAAAAATAGTCCAGAGGATAAGTTTAAATTGAGATATTTTGAAGCACTTCTTGCACTGACACAGTGTGATAGCAAGTTAGGAATAGACTGCTGTCTTGGTATGCCTGTCTTCTACTAGCAATTGGTATTTTCAGTGGTGAGAAAGGCTGAGCCCTTTGTCCTGTGAGATGATTTAGGGTGGGGGTGAAAATACAGTGCACCTTAGAGAGCACAGGTGGCTGAGAAGAAGCAACCCTGGCTACAGATGGATCCTGAGCCTTTGAGGGTGGGGTGAGAAGGGCACTGCAGGAGCTATGGGGAAACAAAGAACCTCATTGGCAACTACTTGTGACAATTGTAGTCTGATTCTCCCTGCCACGAGCTCCCACTTTCTGCTAACCTTTTGAAACTGATTCAGATTTTTAATTAGTATTTTCTATCTTGTTATCTCTTCCTTTTCTTCTGCACTGTCCAAGTGGCACATAAATAATTTCAGGAAGGGACGTAGTTTTGCCCTGTACAGTGATGACAAACTGAGCCCTAAAGATTCCCAGTTTCCCCAGGGATTAATCACCTCTTTAAAGAGAGCAAGTTACAGTTTTAGTGGGAAGTAAACAAATTTGTATTTTTGTTTCTACAGATTAGGCAAAATATTGGCTATTCACAAATATGACTGTTCTGTAGTTCATTTAGAGTAAAGCAAAGAGTCCCTGTTTGCTGGCCATTCTCTTACCCCACTGAGCAAAACACCAGAGTGCATGGTAGACACTGGGTAGTGATGAAGACTGAAGTCCTTTTACTTGTACAACAAGTTCCCCCACATTTGGGTGGTGTGTGGCTTCCCAAAGTGCCCCAGTGGTTTGCACCAGCAATGCTCTGAGTGGTTTTTGAGCAGGCACGTCTAAGTCATGTGTCCTGTGGAGGGCTCAGATGACGTACACGCTTATCCCATAGGTTGGAAAAAATGAACCAGTACCAATGTGCAGATACAGCATGAACTTTGGAAAGAGAGAGGCCCAAACTTCACTGCAAGGGTGTTGGCTCTCTAAGGACCTCCAAGATACTGTGTCTTTGTTGGGGATGAAAAAGCACAGTTCAGCAGTTGATGACATGCAGGGCATTATACAGTGGCACCAGCAGCTGCTGCCCCTCTTTCCTGTGCTGATTTTGCTCCACCCCACCCACCACCAAATCCTGATTTTGGGCTGTTGGTACTTGCCACCACACTGTGTTCTGCTCATGGAGTCAAATCCTTGCCTAGTATAAATAAGTGAGCTCTACCATGTGCCTCCCATGCCAATGAGTAGCTTCTCTGCAAGCAGCCTTCCCATGGAGCCAGTGCAGGTCAGCAGTCCCACAACCCCTTGTGTTTATGCCTGGGTTTATTCCAGGTATAGGTGTTCCTTAGCTCTGTTCACCACCTAATGAACACCTTCCATATTTCTTCCTTGCTTCCTTCCTTCACAGAGTTACTGGCTCCTGAACCTGACTTTTGTTCTAATGGCTGCTGTGCTCCACCATGATCAGGATGTAGAGTTGTGCCTTGTCATATACTGCCAAGATCCCTAACCCAAGAAAAGACCAAGTTGGCTGTGTGAATTGCCATCCATGGCAGAGTAACTCTTACATAAGGACACCCATGGCCAAACATAAACCAGAAAGGGGGTGAGCAGTGGGGGAGTAATAGGAGAATAAAATATTATCTCAGTCTGCAGTGCTTCTGGGAACCCTAGCTCTAGCTGGAAATATTATTGCATCACCTCCTGCCATGGGATATTATTTTGCCATCAGAAATGCTCTGAATTAAATACATGGCTTTCCTGAGATCCTTCTGTACTCGTGTAGTCTGTGAAAATAAGTCTTGATGTAAAGCAGTTGCTCATCCACTGTTAGGACTATCAGGTGGCAGGGAGCAGCTGAACATGCCTTTCTCAACATTCACCTCATGCCTGTACATTATTCAAAGAGGGAAAAAATAACTTCATCTTCAGGGAGGCTGAAATTGCTACTTTCTTTCTTGTCCTAAGGAAAATGAGTGGTAGAGACTAGGAAGAAATACTACAAGGCACCAGGTCGATTACATTGCCTAGCAGGGCCAGACATAAGGGACCCAACTGAGTCTGTCCTCTCAGTGCTGGGAAGAGCAGGAAGACAGCGCCCTGCCTGATGGAAGCACCTAGGTTTGAAAGTTACCTCTACAGGATCCCTTAGGCAGAACAGATAAAGGAATGTTTAGCCCGAGGAAAAGATGAAATAGAGGCTTTATAATTGCTTGGGTCTGGGTAAAAATATCAAGCATTTGAAGCAGAGAATCCGAAGTTAGAATCCATGTGCTTTGTATCTGATTGAGTCTAGCAATTTTTGTGTCTCTGTTTTCTATTCTGTCCCCCAGCTAAACCACTTTTTTAAAACTTGCTTTTTTTCTAGGCTCAGAGAAGTGTAAATTAGTCAATCATACTACACACTGAGGTACTCATATGAAAATAAGTTTTTGATCACCTTGTTTTTAATATTATTGGATAGATCACCACTGTGAAATCTGGTAATGTCTTGTTCTACCTTCATGTTTGGCATTGAAATACATTCATGTGTAGCAGAAACCAGGAAAGATATTCACAACTAAGGTCACTTCAGGTTTGTCACCCATATACTACACTACATTTTTCAGTACTTTATTCTGCATGGAAAGGTCTTGACTATCAGGGATTGCACTACAAGGAACTGTCTCAAGAGCTGATTTAGCAGCTCCTGCCTATCCTTGCTGGCAATCCTTCTCTGCCAATACCCAGTTCTAGCAGAGTTCACCAGCTGCTGCCAGATGTGGACACCCTTGCTGGAGTGAGTGCCTGCAGAGAAAACATCCTCCAAAAGTCGACGGAGACAAGTCCCTCCCTGAGCTCCCTGACAGGGTGAGAGAAGTGAATGACTTACTGACAAGACTCTTTTAGGGCTATGCTGACTGAAAAATTATCTCATCAGTCCTTAATAATGTGTAATACTACATGGCTCTGTACCCATGGAGAACTGAGCTGAACAGGGTGCTAGAGCCACAGCTGGTTGCATGGCTGCAGCTTCTATGAGTGACTCCCAGATCCCAGACCCAGACTCTTTCTCTTATCTGTTCATTGGGACCTCTTGGGTGAGGTAGACCCAACTGCAATAGGAAGCCTCAGTCTCTGCAGGTCTAATTTGACTCTGCTTCTTTGCAAGCTAGAGGAGCTAACCCACTTGATATTTGCAGGAATTAGGCTTTTGGATGGAGATCCAGCATAAGAAAAGGGCATGAGTGAGTGGCAGGGTACAGAGGACTTACTGGCCTGCTTGGCTTTCTCTGTATATGTGGTGGTTAGGTCTTCATCAATCGGATGTTCCACTGGCCCCACCATAGGGATGAGATGGCGTTCCGCTCGGATAGCCTTGGTGGCATGGGGCAGGAGCATTGCCTCTGGAGAAGGCTCCCGTCCCTCTGTTGATGGTGGCCGCAGCTGTCCCTCGCTGTCTGAGAATGGAGTGTCTGTGCGGCTGCCAGGCAGGCAGACAATCTCCCTCTTGGCCACCCCACTGGAGCTGGGCACCTCTGCTCCCCCCTGCACAGCAGCCTCTGGCATGCTCTCGTAGCCGCTCTGTTCAGACAGGGACACCTCATCCGGAGGTTCATCCGCCTTGCTGGCGGTGCTGTCAGGTGGGGAGCGCGGGCTCTTCTTGCGAGCCCGGCGGTGCTTCTCCTGGGCCACGTTGTCGGCATCGCTGTCCGTCTCCCCATAGTAGGCCTCGCTGTCCGGGGGGGAGGTGAGGCTCTCCAGGTGCCTCTGTGACCTCCGTGGCTGCGAGGGCTGTGTGGTGGCCGGGGCTCCTGCTGGTTCAGAGCTGAGTGACTGTGCTGGGGGGCTGAGCAGGGATGGGGGGGAGAGCACTCGCTGCCCTGGAGAAGGGGAACGCTGGGACCGTGGGCCAGTCTGGTCCCCACCAACTATCCTGTGGGGAGAAGGAAAAGTGGTGAGAGAGGTCTGGTTTGTGGGGCTAAGCGAGAAGGAAACCCTGACATGTGAGAGAGAGCTATGGAACAAAAACGGTGTTTCAAGTGTCTTTCAGGTGGTACAGCCACTTGAAGTGTAGACTCCGAGGGCAGACTCATCTCTGACATAAGCTACGTGCTCTCATCCTGATTTTCTGCTTCACAACTCTATGGAAACCAGGTGTTAAACATTTGAATATCAGAATGCCCTAAGAGCATAAAATTCTACCAGTCAGCTTAATCAGCTCCCCAGGCATTTCTCCTGGGGATACAAATACCTGTGTAGCAAGCATTCCCCAGGACAGTGGGATGTGCCTCTCAGCCTGCCACTTGTCAGCAAGCTACCACAGGTGCCTCAGCTACCACACTGCACTCCAGCTGCTCCTGCAGCTGGGACTGCACCATGGAGCTGTGTCAGCTCTGCAGATCCTGGCACCCCCAAAGTACTTTAGATCAGAGTGGGCGCCAAACAAATAAGTCAGTGCTGTTTGTTTGCCCTGACCTCTACATGGGAGTAAATAGGCAATACTTTGGATTAAAAGGCCCAAGTGTTTTTTGGGGGTAGGGCTCTAGTATCCTGTGATAGCAGACCACCATGATGTTTGGCCTGCTCACTGTGGGACTGCTTCACAAGTTAGCTACCAAGATTCTGATGACCACATACAATCATGCCAGCCAGTTCAATCCATAGTGGCATTTGTATAGCGACTTCAAGTCTGTAAGTTATCTGGAAGGATGTCTGGAGTAGGTGCAGGGCAGACTGGGGCAATCAGTCCTATTGCTGACTGCCAGAGGGAAGGAGAACTGGCTGTGCTGACAGGGAAAGAGCCCGCTCTGTCTTCTCTCTCCTCAAGAGTGAGTCTTGATTTCAGTGGCAGTTTGACTCTAGACCATAAAGATGGAGCAGGGAACTTTTTCCTTCCCTTGTCAGAGTTGCCAGGGCTTATTAGAGCTATGAAGGAGTCCTAAGTATTTGCCTTCTGAACATGCATACCAGGAAGCCAAGCAGACAGCATTACCTCTCTAAAGCTGTGGAATTCATGACTTGGATCCCAGTTCAAAACTGTGAAAAATTTATATTCATGTCAAATGCAAACCTTTGTTGAAGCTAAGGGTGGGACAATTTCTCTGGCAGTTTATTTTTTTTAATACTATTTGCCGTTATGAACTCTCAGTGAGGAGCAAACTTAAAGTTCCACAAGCAATACAGAACAGTCCTTCCTCTTCTTTAAATACTCAACCAAATAACTGAAAAGCATTACTGCTTGTAAGCCAGTTTCTCTTGTTCTGCATTGTCAGATCACAGTGTCTCTCCCTCCCTCTTTTTCTGAAATACACATACTCCAGAGTCATCCAGCTACCTCTCCTTTCTGAACAGGATTGATTGGTGTTTTTTCTGGGAACATAAATATAAAGTGGGAACAGAGATGTGGTCAAGAAAGCGATATGTGATGATTTCTCCGCTACTCCAGGTTGCAGCCAACTGGTTATGTTATTTCCAAACCATCCAGTGCTGGCTTCCAGAGGGCTATGAGAAGCCTGCCTTTGTCACTTTGTTAATTCAAAGTGTGCTGATTTTGCCCCACTGGAATCTGCCCAGGCAACTGTTGGCTGCAGATAGGCTCCGATGGGGTGAGACAAGGCCTTGGCAAGGGACCAGGAGCTATTCTGGACACCTTGTATAGAACTTATTCATCCCACTTAATCACAGCTAGGGTATAGAGTGAGCACATCAGAAGGCACCAGCGTGTTACCTAAAGCCAAGGGAAACATCCTACATGCTCAGGCTTTCCTTCTCTGAGCACTGCCCACCTCTGCCCCTGCTTTACAGATGTCAGCAACCAGCGTGGCTGTCCCTCCTCACTGCTCACAGTCTCTGCCTGTTCAGGACTGTAGAAAATCCCATCTCCCAGCCCCCTTCACCAGGGCCTGTTTTTCTGAGGGTGACTTCTGTTTTGGCAGTAGTTTTGGGACTGGGACTTCACACAGCTTTTCTGCCTTCATCTTTATATGATTATTCATTTGCAGCTTGGGCCACATCCAGCATGCACTGAGGCACTAGGTTAACTTAGCACAGGGAGAATGAGGAACATTACTGGGACCATTTTTATGCTTACATTTGAGCTGATCTCCACTATTCTGCTGAACTAGAGACTGGCAGAGATATTTCTTCCCATAAAAGGGGGACTCAGCCACACACCTCTAATCTTTGTGGAAGTCAGTTCACAGACTGTTGGACAACTGGCCTGATGCAGTAAATACTTGGGTAATCTTGTCCTGGCTTAATTATTCATTGTATAGTCAAATCCATTTCTACAGAACAGTTATTTACCCAGAATGAACCAGAGTCTGTTACTTGCTGAGATGAACTGCCCTATGCCATCTTGGGCATAGGAGCCTAAATAGCTCATTATTTCCAGCACAGCCCTCACACTGCAAACATTTCCCTTCAGCCTGAGGGGTGGGGATGCCTGGGGTCAGTTCAGCCCCAGAGCCAGTCACTCTGGAGAGCAGCACAGAGACAGGGCAAAACATTGAGATGGCTGCACGTTAGCCACGGAGAAGTCCTCCTAGTCCTCCCACTTAGCAGTATGGCAAAACCAAAGGCTTCCTGCCTGCCTTCTTTCTGCTAGGTATGGAGAGCTTCTGTGCTGGATGAAGCTGCCCTGCTGTCTGCACTGTCACAGCACTGGTGCTTGTGTGCAGGTTACCTTTTCACACGGATGTTGAGCATGCCGTTGGAAGAATCGATGATCTGCATGGCATTAGCATGGGAAAGGCCAGCACATGACTTCCCATTGATAGATACTATCACATCATTTTCCCACAGGCCTCCACGGCATGCTTTGCTTCTCTTTCGGATCTGGAAAAGCAGGAGAGAGGATAGAGATGAAGGAAAGAACAGCAGCTATTTAGTTCAGTCGTTCTCCTGCTGTCCCTTCTATTGCTCTGTCCCTGATAGGATAAAATAAGGCCTAAGACTGCTTCGTGCCAGGGTGGAGAACTAGTCCTCTTGCAGAGCCCTGGCTGTGGTCTCTGCATTCCCGTTAATTCCAAGAACATCTCTGCTGACCATAGACCTGACCTGATCACCAACCCAGTTCAACTTCTTCAGGGCAGATGAAAGACTCAAGAACATTTACATGCTTTTCTCCTCTTGCTCCCTATCTCCTAAATTGCTTAGGGAGTCTGTATTTCAGAGAGGGAACAGAAACTCTTTCCAGACTATGCCTGTACATGACTGTGTGTCCTTCTGCACTACCCTACTGTGATTCCTCAGTATGATCCCTGGCTCTCATGCAGAGCCCCTGCAGGTACCATCCTCATGGAAGCTGACACTGGTGGCTCTGTCATGAAAGAGGCACTTTCTGCTGTTAAGCATTCCTGTTCCAATGGCTTTGGCCAGTGTATTTCTGGACATCTGCATCAGACCATATGGTGTCCTGTTACACAAGTGTAAACTTGGAATAAATCTGTAGCCTTAACAGGAGTTGTGCAGGATATGCATTGCTATATCTGAGAATGGAGTTGGAGTCTCTAGTTCCAGGCTAGTTCCTAGATCTGGCCTCTCATGGCCATCTTACACCAAGTGTTTCCTCTCCCTTTTTTTCTATCATCCATCAGTTAAACTTCTTACCAACACAGCCTAGCCTTTCTGTTAAGTCAAGCAAGCAAGGAAACCAAATGCCCATTCAGCCAAAAACCACAGACCTCTCCCGTAGAGGCAAGCAATGGAGATAGTCTTGTAGGACAGCTTGGTGCCCCTAATAGACTGATTTTGCACATAAAAGAATATTCAGGAAAAAATGGATCAGAGGAAGTCAGGGCCAAGGTAGTAATACAGTGGATTTGTAGATGCTTCTAGAAGATTTCTTTGAATCTTGAAGTTAAGTGAGAGACACATCAGTGCAGAGCTGTTTAACAGAGGGTGCAGTGAACGAACTGTGGCAGATCCTGCAGAGAGGTAACACAGCAGGGCACCTTCTCCCATATCTTACAGCCTTGTGCTGGAGCAACCAGTCTCAGTTATGTTGCCTGCACTTCTATGGCAGCCTTATGAAAGAGAAGTGGATGTGGGAGGATTGCTGCCCTGTCACTGTTCTTGCAGGGGCAGTAGGGAAGCAGGGAAGGAGAGGGCTGGAGCCCTAAGGAGGTCCTATGTCATGGTTGGCTGGGCTCAGGGCCCAGGCCCTCTGCACCCATGGGGTGTGCTTGCACCCAGAACTCGACCCTGCTGGCCCATGTTCAGGCAAGAGCAGCACTCCTCCCAGGTCAGCCTGTCAGCAGGACCGAGAGGTGTTCGGGAAAAAGATGGAAAGAGGAGGGCTATCCTTCAAGTTGTTTTTGTGTTCACTGGCACTTTATCGCTCTGTAGCCTTTCCAGCTTGACCCCAAATTTTGCCTGCATGCTTAAAATAGGGACTGGCTCATCCCAGCTGCCACATCCATCAGCCTCTGTCATTTTATTCCTTTATCTCCCTCCTTGTTAATATAAGCCTGGAATGAGAATGTGTGGGTCTATAATGAACTACTGCTGAAGAACCACTTTTCTGCTGTTACAATATAAATGCTGCTTCCTGATACTCCCTCGAGGAGCAGCTGTTAACTGAGAAGAGAGAGCAGACACAGTTTCCAGTGCTGCCTACTGACACGGGGGCTAAAGAAGAGAGTTAGGAAGTTGAAGAGAGGTTAGAAGGAGTGTCCCCTGGTATTCCCCAAAAGGCCAACTGCTGCTCCATGGCCAAGTGCTTGGTGCTTAGCACTGGATAGGAACATACTTGCTGAGTATGTCTCCCAGTTATGGAGTGAGGAGACTGGGGGTTAAAGGCTGTCAGCAGGTGCTCAGAGCATTACTCACATCCGATCATATTCCTCCATGCTCACTGAAACCAACTGGATGTAGGCTGGTGACCAACCAGAGCAGCAATAGTAAGCTTCCTGCGATCCTCTGGTCCCATAGTATGTGAGACTTTGCAGGCAAGTGTTCCGTATTCCCAGGCAGGGAGGATCAGGCTGTGGTCCCAACACTGCCCGCTGCTGTTTCAGGTACCTTCATATTAGAGCAGGCTGGTGGGACAGAAGCAGTCCCATGCAGGCTGAGCATCACAAGCAGGCAAAGCTTTTCTCTCGTTGTTGGTGAGGATTCTGGCTCTGGCTTGGTCTGTGCTCAGATTTTACCAGAGTGACAGAGAGCCCACGCGCTAAAGCAACTATTGGTCCTTCAGTGCTGTTGTAAGAGTCTGCAAACTAGCTCTGTAGTCTAGGAAGGACTTCTCCCTGTCTCCATTCCTCTCTGGGAAAACAGGACCAGGTCTCTTTTGGCACAGGAAGAGACCTAGCGAGTCTGAAAATAGCATGTTTCTTCTGGTGCAGTCTCCCATAGGTTTATAAACCCTCCCTGGAATTTTTACAAATTTGCTTCCCAGGGTCAGAGGGAAACGAACTATCCACAGCTTAATTTTTATGCCAAATCCCTACCCCACTGATTTGCTAGGGAGGAAGGCAAAGAGGTTAAAGGCAGAGAGGATTGTGCAGGGAGAGAAGAAAGAAAGCTCATCAAACAGAAAGGACAGGACAGGACTTAATCCACAACCACGACAGCAGGGTGCAGTGTGCCGGAGGCTGCAGAGCCTCTGGACAGAGACCAGGACATGCCTGCCAGATTTTATATGCCTGCCAGCCCAGTGCTGTGGAGACTGTAATGACAACCCATAACCTGCACACCTTGCTTACAGCAAGGGCAGCACTGAGCTTTTGAGGGTCCAGGACAGGGTGGCTGCCTAGTCCAAAAGCCAGGCTCGCTGCCCATCCTGAAGGTCAGTTTGCCCTCAGGCTCGAGCCACTTGCTCCCCATATCTAAAAGAGGCCCTCTCCTGGGCACCCAGTGAGCCACATGAAGTGTCACTAACAGGGAGCTTCTGCTTAGGTTGTAGACATGTTGGAAGGGGTCACCAGACAGCTGTTCTAAAGATATGGGAAAGGCTGGAAAAAGTGGCATTTCAAAGAGAAAACCTCTGTGCTTCCTGTAGCAGATATCTGGAGAACTTTCTTGTGCCCATGAGAGGCTGATGGACTCTGACAAGTGGTCAGGGCTGGCCCCAGACCTGGCCCTGGGGGATTGTACTGTCTGACCTTCTAGCACATACTGGCGAGGACTGATCTCTCCTTTTGTGTGAGGAGCCCCACAAATTCTGTGAGCCTCTTGTTAACTAACTCTCTGTTACACTTTCCACTCTGTGCCTCAGTAGACACACTCTCCCATGGCAGACCTTGACTAATTGGAGGAATGTCCTGTTATGATATCAGATGGATTTAGGAAATCCTAATTTCAGAGTCGTACTGATTTATGCTACTGCAAATACAAATCAGTGTGAAAAACTGGAACAGATTTACTCAAAAAATTGTCTGTCTCCCTGCCCTCTCAGTAGGAGTTCTGTAGTGACAAAAGAGCTCTTGGCAGAGAGGTTTGGGTGTCTGCAGCACCCAGGTACATGCACATACATGCACATACATGCACATACATGTGCACATACATGCACATACATGTGCATGTGGGTTTTTTTACCTGCTTCCTCTCACTGATCATGTGCAATCACTGATCATGTGATCTCACTGATCATGTGCAATCAGACAGAAGGAGAAGGACAGAAACAATTGAGGGGAAAAAAGAAAAAGAGTGAAGGTGACAACTGAGGAGGAAAGGAATAAAAAAAGATATTAAAGGGCAGACCAGTGCTAGGAGAGGCCAGAAAGGCCAAGGTTGGGATCAGGCTTTAACAGTACAGTACAAGTTTCCTTGTACAGCCCTGGGGAGACAAAAGGACATGCTGACTATGGACGTGTCTTGGGGAATTCAGCCTAGCTTTCAGGAACAGAATGCAAGAGGAGGGGTCAGATCCAACTTGGCAGCATCTGTCCTTCAGTAGGGACTATATTTAGATAGTGGTATGTGGGGGCTGAACACACGCTGGTATGCTAAGAATAGAGTAATCCTGATAGTAACTCAGTGGCTTCACATCTTGCCTGAGTACAGCACAGGGAACCTGTCTCGAAACTTTGCAACCACCTTCCCTGCCGGCCAGCACTGCTTCTTCATAGGGAAATAAGCTATGGGTAAATAGAAGTGGTTTGCAGTGCCTTTCAGAAAATAACCTGTAATAGGTTCATGGCATCTTTCCCCTTACCTCCCCAAGGCACCTCTCACCTCTTCTCATTGTGGTAGAAGGCAAATTACATTATCAGTCTTCCCTCTAATCTAAAATCTTTCCAGCAGCAACCTAGCAAAATCACTTCAAGTCAGAGTTGTATACTGAATACAATTTGTCTTCCCATCCAGTGCCCTTCCAATCTCTGATTGCATCTCTTAACACACAGCTTCCCCCTTCCCCCACCAGCTATAATGCCATGGGGTCCAACACTCCATGGCAACGTGGCAGTATTTAAATTTCATTCCGAGCCTTATGCGAAATGCAGTCCTGTCACAGGGTTCACGTGGAGAGTTAAGGACTGCCTTGTTGTGTATAAAGCATTACCAAAAGGTAGGAGACCATTTGGGTCTCCTCCTCCTAGAACTTCCTGCTCAGCTGAACCAGAAACACAGCAGTTGTTAGATGTAAAAGCAGAAACAAACACCCTCTATCTCTTCTTCTTTCTTAACATCTGTGTTGACATCTTTTTGGTTACTGGAACAGTTTGTTTTGATTCCAGGACCAGGGTCTAATTTTTACTTGTGCAAGAAAAGATACCCCTGTGGCAAAAGTGGGTAGATTACTAGAGGAGCGTTCAGGAGACCTGGATGATTTTTTGTGTGACCTTGGAGAAAACACCTTAGAGAAGGAGTAATAAATGTGAGTAATAAATGGC